GACCTCTAAAATTATGGTCCAGTGTTTTAATCACAAAATCCTTCTTCTTCCTTGATTAAAACAGGAAAACAGAATGCAAAGTATGTGCTTATTCTGTAATTTCAGCATGTTACCACAAATATCTTGGAAAAAAATATGTACACTTCAAATATGGTCATCTCAGCCAAGTGTATGTTTTGTTGAAACAAAAGGTGTGCATGTCATTCTGGAAGAGGCTGATCTTTGAACACCTGGTCCTCATGGGCCTGAATAAACACTGTAACTCCTGAGTTGAAGCAACCTTGTATTGGTTATCTAAACATCTGTTTATGTGAACTTTAAAATAACCTTGTAACCTTACAAGATTAAAAGCGTTGTTATCAGTGGCTGAACTGCAGTGAGACTAAAGAGTATTTGCCACACCACCTGAGGACAGGATGAAGATACAAGTGGTGCTGCTGTTTGACCATAGGTATTCTTCCTTTTTAACATGATCTTGAGTACCTTTGGTTTGCCAGACAAATCCAGTTTACAAAACTCTTTTCCCCCACAGATACTGTCTTTTACCTGGAAGACCCCAGCCTTGTTCAGGAAAGTGAACTCCAGGTGAGGTGCTCTGATGGCCCACTCCTTTCCAGCCTCTTTCCCAAGGCTCTGTATACCTTTCTCCATCTTATATTTATGTGGAGATTTGTCATGATGAAAATAAATTGCCCCCATCATAAAGCTGTGTAAGTAGCTGTCACATCATGCAGAAGTTGCCCCTTTGGGATCACAGAAGAGATGTGCTTTGGCTATGCGATAAAAGCTATGACATATGCAAACCCATAGAGAATAAATTGCCCACCCCAAATTCAGGATTCCTCACCAGAGTTTTATCTCAGGCATGTTACTGGTTTTTAGACATTCTGTTTCCCATTGTTTGAAAGAACTGTTATTTTCCCAACTACAATTGTTTCATCACTTTTATTCAATGGATTGAATTTTAACATTTTACCTGTTGTCCCAAATCACTTGAAGAAAATAAGGCATGAGAGCACGCAAATTTATTCTGAATGATTAATACCTCAAAAATTTCTCCCCAAAGTAATGACAATTTCTATGTGATGATGGTGTTTCTTCCCACCTATTTCTCCTTTTAAGAGTCCAGCATGTATAGGTATCTGTGACTGCAAACCCAAAACTGATTTTAGTCAGAGTTTGATAAAACAGGGACTTCTCAAAGTTTCTTAGGAAATGAAATTCCCCTGCAGAGGGCTCTGGAATGTCCACCTCCTGGCATCCTGAGCAGACTGCAGAAAACTCATGTGGGGAAAAGTGAAGCACTGGCAACAGAGCCAGTTTTATGCATCTACACTTGGCAAAGGCTGAGTTTATAGCTACTGTTTCCTGCCTGTACTGTTGTGCCTTCATCACTCATCAGATTTTCCAGAAGCCTCAGAGACAACAAACTGTCAGACATCTTCTATCTCAAGTTCCTTTCAAGGTGGCACCACTGTAGTCACAGCCTTAATGAGAACTTTAAAAGGTTTCAAACCAGGAATTTGCCCCATGGGTAAAATTCAATCTAATTGTTCAAAACAAATATACGTTAGACTAGAGAACACACAGTCTATTAAAATAACATTATCTTGTAGGAGGAACACCTCTACAGAGGAAGACAACTGTTTCTGCCCACCTATGCTTGACTCCAAGAGATAAACACCTGCTGCTTAATTTTAAATCATACTAAAAATATTCTCTGTTATTTGTTACTTATTTATAGAATCACAGAATACTTAGGGTTGGAAAGGACCTTAAGATCATCTAGTTCCAACCCCTTGCTGTTTGTTTCCACTCACTCATACCTTCCTGAACAGACAGCATGTTTCTCCTAATAAAAGTAATGAAATAAAAGGTAATAGCATTGTGCAGTGACAGAAATTACTTAACCAGCTGGCTTGTTCTCTAGTAGAAAAGTCCTCTAATAGCACAGGTTTTGGACAGCAAAGGCTGGTTAAATGCTAGTTTTCTGACTGTATTTTGATTCTGTTTCTTTTGTAAATAAATTTGTACTAGCTATTAATTCATTCAATAATTTTTATACTTCTGATTAATAATTAGGATGGATTGTATATCCCCATTTCTACAGAAAAATATGTACAAATTTTTACAGGTACAGACCTTCACAGAAAATAAAGACCTCGTCATCCTCTCAAAAGAATCTACACCAGATTAAGATGAAGTATTTGGTTGAAAACTTTTACTCCAGATTTTTGTGGAAATGTCGCAACTTCACTACTTGAAGGTCAAGGCCCTTTTTTGCGCTGGCAAGTCTGACTGCATAATGCACATCTGATCTCTGACAATCTTTAACTGTAGACAGTTTCTAGACATCCACAGCAGAACACGTGGACTGCATAAAAATACCTTGCTAGATGGTGTCTATATAGGTAATATTTTTTATCCCATAATAATTCATTTAAGTATAATTTTAAACCAAGTTACAATGGTTTTAGGTTTCAGCACTTCTGCTGAAGTGTGTCTTTTTGGAAGCACTAATGCCAGGAGAAACAGCCCTCAGGTGGCTCAGTGCAAAACTGTGCTGTGCAGCCAGCAAAAATAAAGAACCTTTTGTTCCATGTGGACTCCTTCCAAGCACTTAGGTATTTCTTTTGTCTTTTTCCTCTTCCCTGGCTTACAAATTGACCTGCATAATGTTACCAAAATATTCAGGTAAAAAAATCATGATCAGTTTCTGAAAAGTAAAAAATAATACTGCCAAATTATTTTATTTGAAGGACTAGGTGGTGGGCATGGAACAGAGAAACATGGGGACAATTGTGAGCATAAGAAGAGAAAGAAAAGAAAGGCAGTATCAAAAGGAAGGATGGGAATATTGGAAAGATGAAGATGAAGATGTGATTAAGTAGGAAAGATAAAAAAAATTGAAACAGGATCAGGCACGCAATAAGGCAAAGATCTGTAATCCCTGGAAGCTCCTGGACCTCATGTGGTAAGTCCCTCATGACTTTGCGCTTGACCTTTGACCTGAGCTTGTTTTTCTGAAGTTTCAGTTTTTCCTTTAATCTGTTGAATATTGGGGGGGAACAAAAAAAAAAAAAAAAAATCTGTCAGCAGTGTACTTTTCACCTTTTAATGGCAGGTCCAAAACAATGATGGTACTGCTTCCAGGTCTACCACCAACACCATTGGTACAAGACTGATTTAGAGGTGTCGTAATCCAAATGACAGGATTTTTTAGTTGTTCTATCTTTCTTTTAACTTACAGCTCAAAACCAACAAAGGTTGAATAGTCAAGGCAAAACCCAAGCAAAATCAGAAAGAAAGATGGCTCAGGAACCTTAATTCACTTCCACTTCTGGGGGAGCATTTAATTAAGAAGTATGTGTCACACAGTACATTTCTTTCCACTTTATCAGTTGGATTTTTTTAAAATTTATGTTGATATTTCTAAAATATTAATAAGTTGATGTTAAGTACAGGAGAAGAAATGTTAGGGAAACCAAAAGAAATCAGATTTTTACTCAATTAAAAAAAAAAGTAAATATATGTAAAATTTGGTTCCCAGTTTTTCACATCGTACTCGGAGGTTACTAGATATTCAGTTGCATTTGAGAACTGTTCTCTGAACTTCCGTTCAGTACTTCATTATGTATATTTCCGTTTGCTGTCTCTTGTAGAAGTCTTTTCCTTCCTATCTCGTAAAAGATCAGGCAGCTTCCTGGTATCTTGCTATTTTTCCCTTTTGTAGATCAGGTGCATGACGGTTTTCCAAAGTGCTGTAAGGTCTGAGCTAAGATTTTGGTGGTTACAAAAATGATTTTTTTTTTTTTTCTTGTACTATGTCATGAACAGCTGGTTTTAATCTTCAATAGTTAGCCATCAATTATAACAAAAATAAGAAAACTTATTAAATCCCTATAATGTTAAAATCCTTTAAAATCATTTCACTTTCTGCATATATAAAATACAAGAATGTGTACCATGTGCTAGTATTTTTATACACGTAACATGACTGACTGAGGTACATGCAAGATGGGTGGATTAGTGGTCAGGCCACTGCACCTATTTAAGTGCTTCCACTCAAGGTGTTTGGAGTTCAGAGATCACAGAATCATAGAATGGTTTGGGTTGGAATGGAACTTAAGATCATCTATTACCAACTCCTCTGCCATGGGCAGGGACAGCTCACACTAGACCATGTCACCCAAGGCTCCATTCAGCCTGGCCTGGAGCACTGAATCACAAACACTCATCAATAATGTACTTCTGAAAAGCATCCACATGTCTTTACAAATTTGCTTTTACTCTTATTTTTAATTAGTCCATCACCAACACTAACTTTATGCCATTAACACATCAAAAGGCCTCAGACTGCGTTCTTTACTCCATTGATAGTCAACTGCAGAATCTGTTTCAAGAAATCATACAATACAAAGTATTTAAATTAAAGCTAACACATAAAGCAACAACAATGAAACATAACTGCTCTATTTTCATCCTTTTGCATCAGCAAGTGAGCCCAGGCAGATAACAAATATCACCGAATCACAACCAGTCAAATGACAATAGCAAACAGAGGTTTTACCTAGCTATTGAAAGATATTCTAGTCTTGTTTTATTTGTTTTTTCAAGTTCTAATAATATAATAGGGGTTAATTTACAGCTGCAGCAACATAAGCACTTTATCCATTCATTTTTATCCACTCTTCCAGCCCATACTTGCCCTGTAAACAAGTACTGTTCAAACATCATGACTTTGTGGTATTTTGCTTGTCAAAAATATAAAATAAGCAAGCAGAAGTTGCTGAAGAAAATTTGATCAAACCAAACCCCACCATAATACAATGTTATCCCTGTCTGAAAAAGCTTCATCCATTCTGTGACTTTTCAAGCAAATTAAGTATTTTTAGCAATCACACTGTGTTTGCAGGCAGTGTTTACTGAGTTTATGAACTAAATTCTTACAGAACAAAATTGTGCGACTGCATTAAGTAATTTTCTAAAAAAGTACTTACTGAAGATTGTGATTTGGACTGTTTGTTGGACCTGTAAACATAAAACAGACAAACATTGCTGGCAACTTTGGCTCAAGTACAACAGCATAAAAAAAGTCAATAGCAATCTAAAGGAAACTGTCTCTTTAAAGAAGGTTTGTCTTAAGATTCAAACAAAACCCTCTGCGTTCCTGCACATAATTATATATCACCATTTTCAAAGCCACAAATAAAAATCACATGAATCTTCTGTCTGCTCAAGCAGCCACTTGAGTGAACTTAATTTTTGTTAGAAAATATCTCCCACTGTAAAAAAACAGGCTGCTAAAAAGACAATATGTTATCTTAACGCACCACTTACCTCCTAATAAGCCCCACCTGAGCCTTGCTATGGGAGTTTATGACATGACAAGGGCATGCTCTTAACCTTTGTTACAGTAGGAACAAGGTCCAATACCCAGTGCTTAATGAATCACTACAAAGTAAACTGTGGAGTTCGCTAGTTTCATCACAAAAATCAAAAAGAAATTTTAAGAAAGTATCTCTAGAATTATTTTCCTCATTGCTTCAGAAGCAAACTAAATAAAACCTTGCTTTTCAGGCTGGATGATTAAGTCTTCAAAATGCAATATAAGTGCTTCTTGAAAGGAGTGGTGTACCTTCAGCTGTCAAAGGGCAGAATTTGAGGCCAGGCTTCACATAGCAGTACAGACGTCATATTTTGCAAGGATGGGCCCAGCACTATGAACATCATGTAGAAAATGGCTTATTTTTCTCTTCACTTTTTTTTTTTTTTTTCACAGACTGAGTTCAGCAGTCCAGGCAATAAAATGTTATCTTTTTGTATTTTATTCTGGTATGCCTTTAGATTTTTTTCTTCACTACGTATTTACAGACCTTTCCATCTGTATTTATTTTATTACCAATAAGTGAGTATCAAGTTCAACCAAGAAGTTTTGCACTGGGGGAGAGGCCCCAGTCAGTGGATTTATTTATTTCCTTTCATGTTGAGAATTATTCTTAAAACGTCAAATTCATTTCTCCTTATGCTATTGTGAAAACTAATACTTAGTCTATAAAGCTGACTGAGTAATTATAAAAGTAGGAACTCACCAAGCCTTACAAACAACACTCCTGTTGCAGTTATTGTCTTCATCCCATTTGAAGCCACACACTGATAGTATCCTGTGTCTGTGGTATCCAGATCTTGGATTCTCAGACGGGAACCATAATCTGTTTTTCTGATGATGATCCGTCTTGGCTCCTGAACCACTGGAGCATCGTTTTTCAGCCATCTGACATTTGGAGATGGATTTCCTGCTACCTTGCAGTGGAGGATTGCTGTTTGCCCCTGGACTACAGTGATATTGTTTACTGGTTCCAAAAAGGTCAGGAAGTAACCTAAGAGTGTAAAAGGTCAGAAAAAATCAAACTTCACTTGGGTTGCAGGACAAGACTGCCCAAAAGCACATTTTTAAGAGAGGTTCTTGGAAACAGTTTCAGTTTTCTTTCAAGCATGTACTCCAAAAAATGGAAATCACTGTCTTAGAGACAGTATAGCATTACACTCCAATTTTTCTTTCTTGATTGACTTCATCTCTGTCTGCAGATTAGAAGGTCAAGCATAAATTAATACTATTATAATCACAACTCCCTTTGTGAATACCTATTCTGAAGCAATAATGCCCTTTTCTGGTTATTTTCTACATATCTTGGAAAACAGTACTATATCAGAAAGCTACACCATTATTGCATAAAAGAGTAATCCCAATTGTAACCGTATTAGAGTAACATTATAATTTTACTGCTTCATCTTCTTAGAAGGTCATCTATTTGTCCTAAAAATAAATAAAACTGATAAAGTTACTTTTAAGTATTGACTTGCCAGATACTCATCTGACAGAAAAATCTTAAGATGAACCTAGTTTGGATATGTTTATATCTCAATTGTATTTTAAAGATGGTAAGTCTCACATTCATAGAATCATAGAATGTTTTGGGTTGAAGGGGCCTTAAAGATCATCTGGTTCCAAGCCCCCTAGACCAGCTGAATTTAAAGAAAGGGTGTCTCAATTGCAGAAGAAACCTATGATAGAGAAGGCACTTTCAAATTGATTATAGGCTGCCATTTTTTTACATGAAGTCCTAAAATAGTACTAAATTGGACAAATAAATGTCTGTGTGGATACTGAGTAATCAAGTTTCATGGGTTAATGGTTAAACTAAAAGCACTAGATTGGTGAACTCAAGTGATTAAAAAAAAGAAATAATTGATTGAAGAACACTGTAAAAACTTGGCAGTCAAATCTTCTGTAGGTTATTGTTTTTAAATTTGATTTGGTGTTAGGAGTCCTGCAACTGACACACATCACATGCTGAAAGCATGAAAACATGTAATTCCACTGAAATAATAATGAGATTGTCAAAACAATCAAGAAAAGTATCTAGCTGTCATGCTCTTCTTAACATTTGTTTTGATCAATTTATACTATTTATACATACAGCATCAAGAATACTTCATATTATATTATTTTTTTATGTCAGCTGGATCCAAATATCAAATCACTTTGATGGATGTTTATATGTGCCATTTCCTATCAGTTAGATTATTTTGCAGTTCTGTAATTAGCAAATAGTGTATTACTGTGCAGTAATCTAACACCAGTCAAGATTCACAGCCTGATTGCTGAAATACCTGCAGAAAATAGGTTCTCTGCTTTGATTTACATTTCACATGACCATCAGAATATGATGAATTTGCAAAACCAGATCTTGCTGGAAAACTGGTAAGAATGTTGTACTCTACCACTGGCCTTTGAAAAGAAATCCTGCTATAAGGAATAATACAAAAATACAATGTAGGCAATTTAGTGAATTTAGTGTGTCACTAAATAGAAAATGAAGTAAACCTAAATACATATAATCTCTACATGACACTGCAAACTTACAGGTAAATTATTTTGTCATTCTTTTTTTCTTACGAAATAAATTATTCTGTATGGAATTTTGCATTAGTTTTCTCTATAGTTGTCTCACAGATCTTTAGTAGACTTTAAAACATTCTGACAGAACACAAAAGATTTCTTTTCAAATGCCTGATAAAAAAGGGAGCGAAAATATAAGAATGCTTTCTGCAATGTCATGCCGCAACAGCGTCATTTGCTGTGGTTTCCAGTTACACTTCATAGCTGATGAATTAGAATTACTAGGATGACATTCTGAAAAGGAATAGATAAAGAACAAATTACACTTTTAGTATAAGGAATAGAAGCAATTGATTAAAACTATAAGTCAGAATTTTGCATATATAAGCATTTCTAGCAGTAAAAAAGAAAGGATGATTAATCCTACCAGAAGTTAGGAATTTCCATGACTATTCCACTCTTAGCTCATTAATTAGGGAGTACCACTCTAATCTTGCTACTTTTTCATAATCTGTATGTAGTTTATTCTCATCAGCACCATCGACACAGAGTATACAGTGAAGAAGTAGGTTTGCATTTATTTGAAGTATTTTCAAAAAAGAGTTGTCAGACTCAGTAATATCACTTGAGTCAGAAGACTCACTTTATGAAAAGAGGTGGAAACTTGGAAAAGCTGAAAAATTCTTTTAATTCTAGCAGAACAAGTTATTCTAATATTAGCAAAACAACTAGGGCACTGAGGAAGTGCAAGGACATCATGTCATGGTAATTGGTGATGAGCTGTTGTGGCAAAGAGGAGTAGAGCCATAATGTGGGGCCATGAAAGTACCAACTCAAGGAATAGTTCTTACAAGGTACATATTGAATGTGTGGCCTGCAAGATGGGCAGGAAATTGGGTCACAGGCCACACTCAGAGAGTGGTGATCGACAGTTTTTAGTCAGGCTGGCAGCATGTCACACATGGAGTCCTCCAGGGATTCATACTGGACCCCACACTGTTCAGCATCTTCACAAATGACTTGGAAGATGAGACTGAAAGCACTGTCAGCAAGTTCGTTGATGAGCCTAAACTGGGTGATGATGGGGACAGAACATCTTAGAAAGTGACCTGGGCAGGCTGAAAAAGGATCCTTCATGGAGCTTCATGGAGTTTAACATAGATTTTAGCACAGATATATCTAAAGTCCTGCAGCTGGGTTAGACTGAATAGCTCCATACAGGCTAGGTTGAGGACCAAGGCTGCTGAAAGGGATCTGAGGATCCTGGTGAACATGAGTCAGCAGACTGCTGCTGTGGCAACAAAGGCTAATCAGATCCTGGGCTGTGCCCATGGGGCATTGCTAGCAGACATAGAGACATGATCATCCTGATCTACTTAGTGCTTGTCAGGCCACACCAAGATTATTGTGTCCAGTTCTGGCCCCCAAAATTAAAACCAGAAAGACTGAAGAGTGTCCAAAGGAGGGCAATGAAGACCACCAAAAGGCTGGAGAACCTGCCCTGTGACGAAAGACCTGAAGGAAGTAGTTCTTTTCTCCCTGGAGAAAAGAAGACTTGAGGGTAACCTCGTCACAGTTTTCTTGTACTTAAAAGGTCTCTACAAAGAGGATGGAGAGGATGGAGAGGATGGAGGATGGAGCAGCAGTGTGTGGAAGTTTCATCAGGAGAGGTTTCATTTCAATAGAAGAAAGAAACTTTCTGCAATAAGAACAATCACTCACTGAAAAAACAGTCTTCCAAATGTGTGGTGGAGTCCCACTGTTGGAGGTTTTCAAGATGTGATTGGACAGGATCCTAGATGATTTTGTCTAGGCTCCCCAAAAAATGTTAGAACAGATGATCCTTTGAGGTCCCTTCCAATGTGAGAAGTCCTGTGGTTCTATGGGTCTATAATTCAGCTATCATAAGGGCAGCCTGAATGTGCTCACACAAGGGAGGCAAAAGAGACAATTTTAAGGTCTTTTTTGGGGGGGGAAGAAGTTGGCCCACTTCCAGAATGGAGCTAGCTCAGAGGTACAATCATCTGGCTAAGAGATGTTCCTGATTCCTATGAAGTGAATGAGGGAGAGATGTCTTTAAAGGTGGGGCCAATTCGAGCGCTGTAAGCTGGCAGCCAGAGAGTGTGGCTTTTCTGCTTCTTTGATTCACTTTTTGTTCTTAATGCAGAAGTATATGAAAGGTCTACATTGCTCCTGTGCCACTGCTCAGCTTTTGTGCCATTGGTCAACTTACAGCTTGCTCAACACTAACCAGTATTTCACTTTTCCTGATATAAAAGGAACTGGGTTGAGTCTTCAGGTTAATCATGGATATTACATTAAAATAAATTCGGATGAAAACAGATACTAAATTTACTTATTAGCACCAACATACATTATTAACTGAAGATTAAATCCATGTTAAATCTTTCTGTTTTGGCAAGTAAATCAGACTTACTGTAGAAAGCAATTTGGTTCATAGCTTTTAAGCAATACAAAATATTTCGTATGATTCATGATTATGAATTAAATCCTATTAATTACTACAACAAAACTATTGCCACCATAAGCAATGCCAAAGATTTCTGGATGATTTCAGGCCCAGTGCGATTAGATACACTAACCCTGAAGTTAGTGTAACTGAATCCATTTCCTGCAGCTCAGAATTGGCTTTAGTTCACTATTTCTCCTGCCAATATTACAGGCATTTTCTGCAGTGTTTTATACTACCCTGTTATTAAAAATCAAGTAATTAATATCTTAACCTATTGAACTTCAAAACACTTCTGTTTTCTTCAAAGTTATGCAGAGCATCTCAGGAGCAGTGGGGCAACTCACTGCCTTATCCACTGCCACTGTCCAGACCCTAAAGTGCACACTCTGTTTGCTAGTTTCATTTCCTCTGTCAAAATTATGCTGAAGTCTGATGTTTACATACTTACTGAATTTGAAGTAATTGTATGACAGAGTGGGCAAACATATGTTTTGCTGCTCTGTTATTTAGTGTCCACTTTAGATAACCCATAATTCCAAACCTTTCAAACCAAGTGGAAAATTCAACCAACCATGTGCTTAAGAATGTTCTCCTTATTTAATTTCTGTGGTGATAATCAGCAGTTACTTTTTGTGTGTCACACCACAACCACTGTGTGGATGACAGTTTGATGCAATGGTTTAGGGAAAAAGAAACTGCTTCCCAGGATAAATTGGGACCTCAACAATGTGCAAAGCAAATTTCTTCCAATGTAGTTCTTTTTCTCTCTTAATAAATATTCATTTGGATCACATATGGAAAAAAACCTAAATGTGAAGGCACTAGAACTTGTATTTAACTTGCGTTCTATATTTTGTGTTAAGCATCAGTCAACTGGAGTTTTCTAAAACTTGAACTTTTTTTTTTCATCTGTTTTAAAAAAAAAAATAAATACTCTCTATAAAATATTTTGGACTTGCTATGTACAAATAGCATTACTAAACTTGTAAATATCATATAATAAA